CCCCCCCCCAATTTCTCCATATACAGGAGCGGACATAGGAAGGGGTTGGTAGAACCCAATAATTTTGGTTCTAACTATATTTTGTTTCAAATTCATTTAATATGTGCAAATTATTAAATTAGAACTCAGTAACTCAAATGATTAAGATATAAAATTCATAAATTTCAATTCTTAATTCCGCCTCTATTTAAATAATCCTGTTATTTCGAAGTGTTTAAAAGTTAAAGAGACAGTGATATTGAAATTCGGTACATCTTGTTTCATTAACAATATCTCGGTAATAGAGCGGAATATAGGTGTGAATGATTCATATAACTAATCCCAACTAATTTGGGATTGAGTTGTTATTATTGTTTCTTCGTCAATATTCATCTGCTTCTCAGCTATACGCTTGAAAGAGGACAAATAGTTAAATGCATTAAATGTATAGACAAAGTCGATATTAATATGGACAGACTTCAAGATGTGACTTAAACCACCTCTCCTTTAATTAATAATGATTTGATCTAGGGGAGGAAATGAAATTGGAAAAATACGTGTATGGACTCGCACGACTTTAAGAATTGTTTCCTTCACTAATCAAAAGAAAAGGCTAGATGTCCAGCTTAGCGATGACATGATTCTTGATATGAAAGTGTGGAGGGCCAAAATTAAGGTAGATGTCTAGTAGGTAGACGAGCGTTTTTTTTTACCATACTAGTAGCTTAAGTATAATTCTCGCATTTTCTTACCCTTAGATTTCTATTATTGTTACGTGTTGTTTCTTTGCTTATGTTATCTTATTATCTAGTTGTTGGCACTGCTTCTCTTTCATGGTTTTTTACTACTGTATTTCTTTTTTAAATTGCTATGACTGTGCTTTGCTTGGGCTGGGGTCTATCGAAAACAGTCTCTCTACCTTCGGAAGGTAAGAGTGAGGCTGCGTACACACTACCCTCCTTAAACCCACTTGTGGGATTACGTTGGGTTGTTGTTGTTGTTGTTGTAGATTTCGATATTAGCTAATTATACGCATTTACGGTAGTGAGACGAAAATCTACATCTAGTTTGCTTTTATCATCCCCTAATTAATATAATACCCTAAAATCCCCCTANTCCCCCCGAAACTATATTGTCCTTCGTATTAAAAACCCTCTTTGCATTCTTAGAGGTACGTCTAGTACACACTCCTAATTATCTAAAAACATGCCATGTAACACTACATGTGGCTATTTAACTCAGCCTAAAACCCACCAAATATAAACTATTATTTTTTTGTCACTTACCTACTTAAATTATTTGGTGTCCCCAAAACCCTCCTGAACAATATTTCTTTTTATATTAAAACCCCAAGTTGGACTTTTAAAGGTGCGTCTGTCTAACTATATTAACTTGTCGTTTGTACAAAAAAAATTATATAGTTTACTCATGATGTATTACTCTCAGATGATTGATTAATTTTAGGAGTTTTGGCCAAAATAATATTTAATGTAATGTGTTAATTTTAGGATTAATTCAGATTGTGCTTTATGCTAAATTTCAGTTGAATAAGTTCTTATTTATATTAACTTTATAGCACATAAAATATAAATAAAGGCATATGGTGTTGCATATCTTAAAAATCATCTTATATTACATATAAAAGATTACACAAGGTAAAATTTCATAAATAAAAAATCAATTGGCCAACAATTACATTCTCTAATTCCAGATTACATAAAGAAGGTTCAAGAGATTCAACTTTATTCTCTACAAGGTGTTGAGTTTAATAAGAAGATTTAAATTGGTATCCTTTCAACAATATGTGTAAGACATGAAAAAACATTAAAACAAGAAAGAGAATAACTCATTTCAGGGAAAACAAGAGAGGGAGAATTTGTTTTAGAGGAAACCCATATGGAGACCTGAAGAACAAAGGTTAAAAATGAAGAAGAAGGTACAAAAATAAGGAAGAATGGTGAAAAACTAAGGAAGAAAGGTAGATATAATTGAAATAAGAAGAATATTTATTAAAAAAATAAATTGAAAGAGGTTAGGCTAATTAGCCATTATTTTCTGTTATGTGAATCATTTTGATAGTTTTTTTCAGCTGTCACGTGCTCCCAAGCGAGTGTTTAAACACGTTATGCCATGTCAGCAACGAAGGGGTTTTAATATGAAGGACAATATAGTTCAGGGGGATTTTGGGGACACCGAATAGTTTAAGCAGGAAACTAACAAAAATGTGATAGTTTAAGGGAGGTTTTAGGGTATTAACTCCTATAACTAATATAATCATTCGTTTTGTTTTCTCTGAGCAGGATGATTTATGGGGAAATCTATTTGGATTGCTTTCATCGCATCCATTATCACCATTACTATCTCTTCATCATGTAGAAAGAATGCACTCAATTTTCCCCAACATGACAAAAATTCAAGCTCTGAAACATTTATTCAAAGCTGCTAATGCTGATCCTACAAGAATATCACAACAAACTATATGCTACGATCGAAAAAATTCACTATCTGTTTCAATAGCTTGGGGTTATGCTATACAAGTTTACGAGGGCAACATTAAACTTCCTGATCTTATTACAGTGCTAAGGACATTTGAACCATGGGATAAAGACAAGAAACGACCACATTTTATGTTTAGGACAAGGGTTGAGTCTAATGATCCATGCAAGAAAATGGTTGCCTTCTTAAAAAGTGTTGATTCTTATGGAAATAATGTTTGGACCAATTATACGAGGTATAGAGTTGGGAAAACTTGTGCAAAAGATGGCAATAAAATCAAGAATTTGGAAGAGATAAGAGTCTTCTCTCGCAAGTTGGATGCTGATACTAGACAGGTACTAATCTACGTAAATTGCATCTTCTTTTATTTCTTTTTACTACTATGTTCTCCACCCTTTTGAATCACTTTGATAGTGAATAATGTAGTTAATTTCTGTCAATTAGAGTCCATTTGGCTTAAGTGACTAAAATTGGTTAAAATGCGTAAGTGTTGAACTCATTTATAAACACGTACAGTAGTTGAGTATTTAGATAAAAGTATCGCTTTGATAATAAACGGTCAATATATTTGGTAAATTATTGGTAATAAGATAGTAGATATAAGGGAGAAGGCAGAGCGGTGAAAACGCAATGGAAAGGGATTGATTTTGGACAAAGCCAAAAATTGTTTATCAAAACTAAAAAATAAAAAGATTTGTTGTTCAAGAAATCAAACCTCCCAAAAAATAAACGTTTATAAAAATTGGAGATGTACCTAAAGATTATTAAAAAAATTTTATCCGTGTCAGCACTTTCAAGTTGAATATATCTACTGAGATGATGAAGAGTCTCCCTGGGATATTATTTCTTTCTTAGCTTTATTGAGTTAGTTAAAATAGGATCAACAATTATTATTTTCTAGAACTTATATTTTAATTTTTAATTTAGATATAATTCAAATATAACGTTTAATATAATAGTATGTGATTTTTTAAAGTTTTATATTCATGGAGATTAAGTATATGCGCAACGCGTGCAACAAGAGACTAATAAACTAAGAAATGGGTATAAATTAGTTTGACTAGTATTTTTGTTTTTCTAAATTTGAGGAAGTTTTTGATTTCTTAAAAAAAAATCTAACACGTTTCAGGTTAGGGCGCCACGTCGTCAGTGCTGTGACGTGTCATTATCGTCCAATAAATCCATGGATATTCAAATTAGACCATGCGGGATTGATGAGTTCATTACAATGTCTCCTTAGTAGTATTTGTTTATAAACTGTTAATTTCGTTGAGAAACGTTTGATTATTCAAGCATGTGAACTTTNATATATATAAAGATATAAAGGAGGGGAGTGATATGGTATATCTCTTTGTTCAAGAATCATATTTATCTTTTTTCTCAAATTTTTGACATTTCTCCAAATATTTGCCATTTATGTGCTATTTTAAAACATCAAAAGTCACTTCTTAAAAGGTGCTTCATCCAAATAACTCACAAGTCGCCTTACGTTACTAAATTTCTTTTATCCTTGGACGTTACTGAATTAAAGGAGACATTCGAGCAAAATATATTGAAAGACGGGACCTTATTTGACAAAAACGATTCATCCTCCATTCCTCCTATCTTTCCATTTCTTTTGCGTTTCTTAAAATCCAGACATTTCGTTTTGCTCTTGCATAGTACACCGCAAAGAAATGATGGACGAAGATGACACAACCAACTGTATCAAAAAATTTTGCAGTGCAAGCAAACTAGGTAAGAGACCGATGGTGAAGAAAATGTCTTCTGATGCTTGTGCTACAAAGTACAACCCCAATACATGAAATCCTCGCTCAATCTTCTTCCTTTTTCTAAAAATATCTCTTTGTATAGTATTTTTCATATGTTTTTTTTTTATTTTTTATTTTACCTTATTAATTTAGAAGCCCAAAAGTCAATCTTTGGAACTTATATACCTTTTTATATCCCAAATTAAATTGATGAAATGTTTAAATTGATGCCATATTGTTACTCTTTCTGGTACCTTTCAGTATTCCACTATTAGGGTGTGTGTGGCCAGTTTCTAAATAAATTTGGAAGACGCTATTGTAATTGAGAAGGTTTCCAAGCTTCAAAATGAGATAGCAAGCTTAACCCGACATCTATTTGGTACGTAGTATTTTTTAAATTCAATGTTACGAGTTTTTCTTCTCTATGTTGAATTATTATATGGTTTGAGTTTACATGAAGCTTACTTGTAATAAGAAATGACAATGATTTACAAAAGAAAAGAAAAAGAAAGTTTATTGAGAGTTAATAGTATTTTCTTGAACAGTTGGGAGGGAGGAGGTCATGGAACTTGAAAGCAATATAATATGTGCGAGGAGGAATGTATTACGTACCACTATACGCCTTTTTAGCATAAACTTCTCTAATTTTTTTCTTTTACCTTTTTAGACAAGGTGTAAATTAGATGATAGTTATTATTGTATATTAAATATTTTAACGAAATTAGTTTTGGTTCTTTTGCCCAGTTTTTTGTTTATCAGCTTCATTTGTCCTTAGGTAGGCAACGGTATTGGATACTCTAAATGTTGCTCTTTTTGTCTTCCCACTCCCCATTACTGCACATGCTCTGAGTTCGTAAATTTTGATAATTGTTTTTGATACGTTATAAAGACAGCTATTATGTGATTAATCTCATATTCAGTAAGTTCTTTTGAAACGTTGAAAGAAGAATAACATCAATTTGAGTATTTGACCCTATTTTATTCTGGATAATGTCTAAATTTTAATCACAACTATTTTAAGCCTAATTATTTAATGTCTATCAACCCATAATCTTACTATAACTTCACATATCGGGT